CGGATGCTCAGTGGAATTGGCACACTCCTTCCCTTCTCCTTCACCCTGCGTGGCTGATGGGGCCCCTTTCTTTCAAACTCTTCTCTCTTTCTTTTCCTTTGGTTTTTTTTTGAGTGCCCACCCTTACTGACATACGATAGCGCTGGCGTCTGAGCTGTTTCTGAATGTCTCTTAACAGACTTCTTGTTTTGCTTACATCCGCTTCCCCCGGGCGCACTGACACGCCTCCGAGCTGGCCGAGCTTTCCTGTGTGACTGACCCTTTTCTGAGATGATTCATGACCAACAGACTTTTGGCAGAATCAGACCGAATAGCCCCTCTCCCCCCACCCCACCCCTGCAAAAGTGCTGCTGTCAGAAAGGTTTCAGTCTCCGTGCTTGAGTTGTGTTTGACTCGACTCTGTGATGTTTGCTGCAGCCTTCTTTCTTCTCCTCCTCCTCCTCCTCCTCCTCCCTCTGGCCGGTCGGCACTGCCAGCGCGGCCGCACCGTGCGGTGCTCACTGTCTCCGTCTCTCTCCGCCATTGTGTCTCATTCAGAGAGCGGGCTTGAGGGAGGGCGCCGAGGAGAGAGCTAAGCCCCCTCGGCACAGGGCTCCCGAGAGTGACACTGGCGATGAGGAGCAGGACCAGGAGAAGGACTCGGTCTTCCTGAAGGACAACCACCTGGCCATCGAGCGCAAGTGCTCCAGCATCACGGTCAGTTCAACCTCCAGCCTGGAAGCAGAGGTGGACTTCACAGTGATCGGTGACTTCCATGGCACAGCCTTTGAGGACATCTCCCGGAGCCTGCCCGAGCTGGACAAGGACAAGAGTGAAACGGAAGACGAAACCCTGGTTTCCTTCCAGCACGCTGACAAAACAGTTCCTGGACTGGAAGAGGATGGCAAAGGCGGGGAGAAGGTCTCCCAGCCCAGCCCAGATGTCTCCCAACTAGAGGTACACAGGGACGCCATTCCACCGAGACTCTCTCGGTGCCGTCACGCCTCCATGTTCCTTGTCCTGGTGCCCGGTATTGCCTCGCTGGCGTGCACTGCCACGTTGGTTTGGAAGAGCATGCTAGCTTCCAGACACCCCCGGGTGTCCGCCTGGGGTAGCTGTTTTCCCCCGATGCCCGCTGTCGTCTGTGTTGCATGGCTCTGTCCTGTGTTTTGTGCGTCTGCTAACCGGGAGCGGTCACCGTCGTCTCTTAATCCGCCGCGTTTGGCTGCCTGTCCCTCGCACCACTGCCGCATGTCAGCGGGCGGGACGGGCACGCGGCCCTCGCCAGCGGTGCCGGCCTGGTG